GAGTCTCAAAAGTAAGTGTCCTGGGCCAGAGAGATGGCTCAGTGGGTAAAGACACCTGCCACCAATCAAGCCTGCCAGCCAGAGTCTGGTTCCAGGAATCCACGTGGCAGAACAAGAGAAAAATTTCCACTACTTGCCTTCTGAGCTCCACATGTTCAAATGCACACACGCAATAAATAAATGATAGAAGATAGATAGGTAGATAGATAGATAGATAGATAGATAGATAGATAGATGATAAATAGATGATAGACAGATGAGACAGGGTTCTCTGTGTAGCTTTGGAGCCTGTCCTAGAACTCTCTTTGTAGCCTAGGTTAGCCTTGAACTCAATAGAGATCCACCTGCCACTGCCTCTGCCTCCCAAGTGCTGGAATTAAAGGCGTGCACAACCATCGCCCAAATGTAAAAGTTTTTAAAGATTTATTTTTTATCATTTTAATTATGTGTATATGTGTGTTTGTGTGGGAGTATGTTATATGAGTGCAAGTGCCCAAAGAGTACACTCCACCCCTCCACCCACCACCCCGGCATTGGATTCTCTGAAGTTGAAGTTATATGAGTTCTGAGCCACCGGATAAAGATGCTAGGAATTGAACCCACGATCTCTCTACAAGATCACTGTTCACTCTTAACCACTGAGCCATCTCTCCAGGCCTATAGGAAAAAGAAAAATTTAAAGCTAAATAATCTTATCACTTAAAAATAATAATAAAACAACCTATTTACTAAAACTGTTTAGTAGCCAAACCAAATTTCTTCAGCTTTTGAGTTTCCTGATATTCAAAACACATTTTTAAACCAGGAAATAGAGTCTGAGAGGGGTGAAGCAACAAATCCACTATGAGATTGTTCCCCAGAATGCAGAAGCCTGGCACCCTATAAAGGGTATGCATCCAAGGGGGATGGGGACAGGTTACACCCCCTTCCCAAATCCTCTGAATAAAGTATGAGATGTCCCTGACATGGCATCACTGGCAAAGGAGCACTTGGTGGTGGTCTTCATTATCTATAAACACCAGCTTCTTATTTAGAAGCAACTGATTGATTAAATGCCTTCCTGTGTGCCTGCATGTACATCATATTAACAAACTGTCCTGTGTTGTGTGAGCCCACTGATAAGCTGGCTCTGCAGTGGAAGCTGCCCACCGGCTTCACACCCAAGCATGTTTGTCTCAAAGTATTCTGTGAAGTCTGAGGATGGGCCGCCCTGTCTCACCTGTCATAGCGGGGGAGGAGAACAAAAAACAGCCACAAGTAAAAACATCCTTACATGGTCCCCGGAGAAGGGGAAAGGGACAAGATCTCCTGAGCAAATTGGAAACATGAGGGGAGGGAAGAGGGAGCTAGGAGAAGGAGAAGGGGAGAAGAGGAGGAGTGAGGAGGACATGAGGGAGCAGGAAGTTGGAGTTGGTGGAAGAATAGAGGAGAGCAAGATAAGAGACACCATAATACAGGGAGCCATTGTAGGTTTAAAGAGAAATCAGGTGCTAGGGAAATGTCTGTAGATCTACAACAATGACACCAACTAACAATCTAAGCAACAGAGGAGAGGCTACCTTAAATGCCCTCTCCTGATAATGAGATTGATGACTGACTTATATACCATCCTAGAGCCTTCATCCAGCAGCTGGTGGAAGTGGAAGCAGACACCCACAACTAAACACTGCACTGAACTGGAATCCAGTTACAGAGAAGGAAGAGTGATGAGCAAAGGGGTCCATACCAGGCTGATGAAACCCACAGAAACAGCTGACCTGAACAAGGGAGAGCTCTTGGTTCCCAGACTGATACCTAGGAAACCAGCATGGGACTGATCCAGACCCCATGAACATGGGTGTCAGTTAGGAGACCTTGGAAGTCTATGGTGCCTCTTGTAGTAGATCAGTACTTATCCCTAGCATAGGAATAGATTTTGGGAGCCCATCCCATATGGAGGGATACTCCCTGAGCCTAGACACAAGGGGGTGGGCCTAGGTCCTATCCCAAAGGATATGACAGACTCTGG